TAACAATAGGATACACACCCAATGGTTAAAGCATTCGAAACACTTATGACATTCAGTGTCATCCTCCCTTTGCCCCCTCTCCATCTTCCCCTGCTGCTAGGGATGGATCTCATCAGGGTTCTGTCTGTGCTGGGCAAGAGCTACCGTGAAGCCACATCCCCAACCCTTCCTTTGATTCTCTGTAATGATCAAGATGTTCTGGAAGGGAATGAGTGAAATGCTTTATGTGGTTTAAATAACCTTAGAATAAACTTTCTGTGTGCCTCATTTCTAGGGAACTGTTCAAATAACCACACAATTTTTACAAATGGTAAACTCTATGTTGTGGAAAGGAGTACAGGGGCAGAGGGCAAGCAAGCCTGGGTCACTGCACAGTGACTCTGAGATTCGGAACGTGGTGCTTTCTGCCAGTACACAGCCACACTCCAGCTGGCCACGCCTCCTACGTGCAATACCCTCCATGGAAAGTTCTTCAGAAGTCTCTGGCTGATTCTGCTGGGTCCTTCTAACTTCATTATCCCTGGCCATGGCCTGTGTCCCACACTTTGTGAGACCCTGACACAATAGCTGTGGTTAAATCCTTTAATTAAAAAACAAAAAGAGACAAAAACACCCCCCACACTCATGATTGACAAGTGGATAACATTCTCCTACAAGCAGTGTCAGCTCATGGGAATTCTTACCAAGAGACGCAGTTCTCTCTCTCTCTCTCTCTCTCTCTCTCTCTCTCTCTCTCTCTCTCTCACACACACACACACACACACACACGCATTTCAGAAAGTTCTAGTGTATGCTGACCAGCAGAGATTTCAGAATCTGCCTGAATGCGGGCCATTATTGCAAAAGGGTTGGGTTGGAGAAGCACCTCCTCGCTCTCCCAGACATCTGTTTTCTAACACCGAGATGAGTGGGTCAAGAGAAACAGCATGCCCTATGCCATACCCTCCCAGGGGTTGCAAAGGAATGCTCCCAGAAGAGTAGCAAATACTTGTGCACCCGAGGATGACCTTAGCCTTGGAATAGGAATAGGGAGCGATCGTTTTAAGAGCTCATCCTCTCAAACCAGACTCCTCTGCTCCAAGGGTGGCCAGCTCATTTCAAGCTAGTCACTCTGCCTCTCTACCTGAACATCTGCAACTATGCCAAGTCATCCTTTGGGTTTGGCCTCCGTACCCCAGTGCTCTCGGGACACAGTCATATTGTGAGGCCGGCAGAGAAAAACCCTGACTTTACGAAAGAAGCGCAAGCCGTGGCTTGGAAAGAGTCGCCGAGGCAGGGGTGAGCCATGAGCACCTCTGTGAATACAGCCCTGCTGAAATACAGCCCTGCTCAGCCTAGATGTGTGTCTTGGAGCACAACTTGTCCATGCTAGGGATGACTGCTCTTCCACAGACAACACTCACCAAAAAGCTTCACTTCACACCTTTGCCGCTAGAATTTTCCACCTCTAGCTAAAAATATTGCTTTTGGGGTGAGATTCAATCAAAGCAGAATCTTTCAAGGCAAAAGGACCAGTAGCTGAATAGGGCTCCTGCAAAGGGGCCTAGGGGAGAGAGGGCCTTCTGTTTATATTTCCACCTCCTTGGAAGACAGCCCTGGCCCTGCAGGGGGTGGAGGAGCTCACAGGGCCTTGTCCAACACTGAGGGTGTATTTTCACAAAAGCCCTTCAAAGTGAACTCAGGGTTTATTTTGTGGATGAATTAAGGATAATAATGGCGACCTGATCTTTGGGGGTCCCCTCAACCTTGACTCATCAGGTAAGGGATAAGAGTTAACAGGGGACAAGGGACAAGGCGTGTGCTCTTCTCTGCCAACTAGTGATTTCTTCGATTTGAAAATAGTTCTTCCTTGCTGTGGTCCCAAATGCCCCCTCATGTGTATGTAGCGGTTTACATGCATTTGGGCACATGAATGTATACACACATACATGTACACACACACACACCTACCTAAAAAGGTCTCATCTGTAAGCTCTTTCAGGCACAGTGGTCAATACAAACTTTTTTTTTTTTGTGGGGGGGCCTTGATCAGAAGGACTTGGGCCCCCAATACAAACTTTAAAAACTGTCTTAATCCCACAATCTCTTAAAAAAGAATCATTTTGTGTGTGTGCATTGTGTGTAAGTGTGTGTGCATTGTGTATAAGTGTGTGTGCATTGTGTATAAGTGTGTGTGCATGGTGCGTAAATGTGTGTGCATTGTGTATAAGTGTGTGTGCATGGTGCGTAAATGTGCGTGCATTGTGTGTACATTGCATATAAGTGTGTGTGCATTGTGTGTGTGCATTGCATATAAGTGTGTGTGCATGGTGCGTAAATGTGTGTGCATTGTGTATAAGTGTGTGTGCATGGTGCGTAAATGTGTGTGCATTGTGTGTACATTGCATATAAGTGTGTGTGCATTGTGTATAAGTGTGTGTGCATGGTGCGTAAATGTGTGTGCATTGCATATAAGTGTGTGTGCATTGTGTATAAGTGTGTGTTCATGGTGTGTAAGTGTGTATGCATTGTATATTAGTGAGTGAGAGTGTGCACATGCACATGTCCATGTGTGTATCTGTAGGTAGGATGACAACATGCAGGCGTGGTTGTCACTTTCCATCCCCCTTGTGGGGCCTGGGATGGAACTTAGGTGTGCAGGCTTTGCAGTGAGTGCTTTTACCCATGGAGCCATCTTCAGTTCCAACACTTGCTCTCCTGTCATAGGCTGGCCCAGATGCCCAGGGTTTTCCTATGAGCTTGTCATTGGTGTCAATGTAGACATTGTATATTAAGGTAAAGAGATTTATGTTTTGAGATTCAGCACACACGATTCTGTCCCCAGCTCGACCACACACCGGAATGGCCCTTAGCAAATAGCTTGCCCTTTTCCTCAGTTTCCAGAAATGTAAGACTTAAACAACACCTAATGCCTAGGGCAAATGGAAAGATTTGAGAAAGGAAAACAAAGGTCTGTTTGGCTCTGATTGATGCATTAGATATTAGAGTTGCTGGCCAATACTAACTGTGCTGCCGTATAACTCGGGACATTAGAACAGCACAGGGTTAACGGGGGCCACACGTGACTGTGCTGCGCTTTCTCCATGTAATGCGGAGGATTTAGCAAAGTCTACCAGTGAGGGTAAAACAGAATCATCAAAGCAAAATATTGAACACTGTGCCCAGCACATGGCGAGCACCCCAAGTGATTCGCCTCTGTTATCTCCTAGAATCCGAATTGTCGGCGAAGGGATGGTTTGCAGCAAATCTGTTTGCCTTCCCAGGTAATTCTCCCACTCAAACATCCCTCCCTCTGACCACGGAAGCCCCCGAGCCAAGCAGCCTCTATCCTATTTAGCTCTGCTCTTCATCTCAGAAAAGAAAAAAACAATCTGTTAAATATTCCACTCACAAGGTAACAGGCCTGGAATGCTCGGCATCTCAGGCGGAGCTCAGCTGTGTCTTGGCACCAGATACACGCACACGCACGCGCGAGCACACACACACACACACACACACACACACACACACACACACATTCGCTGCAGCCTGGGGCCAAACTCCATTTGGCCACTTTGTGCGACTCAAATAAAGATCATGAAAATCTTGCAGCTTAGAAGCATTTGCACTGTTGAGCCCTTACCCCTTCAGCTTCAGACCAGCCTGTGCAGTGCACTTGGGTTTGAAATCTTAGGTCAAGTGGAGTCGATTTCTAGAGGGGAATCTCTTTTCTCAAATATTCAGACCTGGGCCACTTTCTTCTCAGGGTTTTGCTCTGATCCATAAATGACACTGAAGCTTTGGGTGACAGGACTGGTCATGGACTTGACCTTCCCCTTAATGGGAGTGAATGACGAGGCATCTTTGGAGGGTGGGTATCATGGTTCTGCCACTTAACCATCTGACAAAGAGTAGCTTAGCCTCGCTCTGCCTTGGTTTCTTCAAAAGAGAAATAAGAAAATGCAAGTCTTCTGATCGCCAGCATCAAGCAAATCAAATACTCAAGTTACTGGGCACAGGAGGTACTCCATGAGTATTTTCGTTACTGCTGAGCAAATACCAAGTGTGGATAAAAGGAACACAGCAGGTTCTCAGCCAAAGGGAACCGGTTCCTCGAATAAAAGGTTTCAGATGCAGTAGGATGTTACCAGATGAAGTAAATGCACAGAAAAGAAGGTGTAGACACTATTGCAGAAAGCCGGTGAGCCTAGAGCCTGGTCTTCCCCAGCTCAGTTGTCAGGACACACTCTCTCTCTCTCTCTCTCTCTCTCTCTCTCTCTCTCACACACACACACACACACACACACATACACACACACACACACACACACACACACACACACACACTTGGAAGCAGAAGACCCTTCCTTAGATCTCCAGTTGCCTTCTGGATATTAACCCCAGAAGCTTAAGGAGGGAGGGATAGGGGGAGGGAGAGAGGATGGGAGGGAGTATTCTAGAACAAGAGCACAGGATCCAATGAATCACGGCGCTGACATGGGGGTGGGGGTGGGGAGGGATGTCCTGTGGTTAACCACATTTTACTGGGGATTTTTATTGATTGCTTTTGTATTGAAAGAGACATGACTCAAAGGTACCATAACCACAGTCTTGCAAAGCACTGGGTTCTAGTGGAATTCAGCGGCTGGGATGTCGCGAGCCACAGTGTGGGGTGGGAAAACGTTTGCTGACGTCATAGATATCCGCTTCTCTCCTCTGCCTGCTGATGAACTAGCAGGCTTCTCTCCCATTTCAGGCTGTGGCGGATCTCAGATCTCTGAGCAGGCAGATCCTGGGCTCTCTCTGAACTTTAGTGGTGTGTTCTCTTACCAGCTGGATTTATCTGCCAGCCATCTTTTTTATATGTTCACAGTGTGCTGTGCCTAGAAATCCACTTATTTTTTTTTAAAAAAAAAACATATCTGCATTGTACACAATAGCTCTTTTACAAGTCTATTTCCACAAAAAGGATATGCGCTACTGAGGGCAGGGGTAATGAGATTGTGAGATCAGAAAGAATACTGCAGTCAGTTAAGCCAGTCAAGTTCCTTTGTCACCAGGGTCTGGGGCGCAGTGGACACTAACAGCAGCCTCCTTGGGAATGTGCACAGCCTCTTGCCCTCATGGATGGCTCTAAGAGGCCTTGAAGACATTTTTCTGGTGGATAGTGATGTCTCTGATCTCAGGGGCAGGCATGTAAGGTATGGAGGTGCCTTAGGGAAGCCCCAGGGTTCACAGAATTCACCCTGGCCAGGTCATCCTGTCCATCCACTGCACTAAGCTGCAGAATAAGGAACATGCAATTGAGGCCCTGCACAAAGCCAAGTTCAACTTCCATGGCTGCCAGAAGATCAACACCTCAAGGAAGTGAGGCTTCCGGCAACTGTGATGTGGATGAACGGAAGGCACATAGTAGCTAAGAAGAGACTCATCCTGACGGCTCTGGGGGTCAAACACATCCCCAGTCAGACCGTGACCCTTGGATAAGTGGTGGGCCTTGCATCCCTTCGGGCTTCACTGTGTTCTCATACACCGCACCAAATCATATTCAGTAATAAACCCCAAACCCTAAAAAGAATAATAGCAGCAGCAGCAGCAGTGACCGCACGAGCAACCTGAGCACAGCATCTGAGAGGGGCCTTGCCCACTGTCTTGATGACAGCAGTGGAGACACCTGTGCTTTAAGCCCAGGAGGTGGGACTTTGTACTTTCCTGCCTGAGGCCTGTATTCCCCTTCCGAGCAAGTGGTCTTCCGATGACACAGCGCCTACAGGTGAAAATGAACTGAATAAATGAGATCAAATCCCCCAGGTTGACACTTTCAGGGACAATCCAGACAGAACTTAAAATGAGGTTGAAGGAGCGAGAAGGTTAATGTGCCATGCACTCGGGGCAGGGAGGAGGTGGCTCGGGAAGTGAGCCACTGGACCTGAGTTCAGTCCCTGCTGCCGAAGGGAAAAGCTGGGTGTGACTGAGCAGACCTGTAACCCTAGTGCTACAGGGAAGCAGAGACAGGAGAGTAGGCTCCAGGTTCAGTGAAAGATGCTATCTCAAGGGGAAAAGGTAGTGGGCGACAGAACAAAACACCCAGTGTCCTCCTCTGGCCTCTATACAGATCCTCAGAGCATATGCACGGAAATCATACCGCACACACGCGCACACACACAATTTAAAAACATGGGCCATCTACTTTGAGAAAATCGGCTTTGACCATTTTTTCTAAGAAGTTGGGAAACAGGAAGAGTCTCATTTGCTATCCTCTCTTGACTGGCATACTTTTAACCGGACATGGTCCTATTGTTGACTAGCTACCACACTGTTGTATGGAGGCATTCAAGAGCTCACTCTTCCGGCTTCACTGAAAGTCTAAAAACTCCACTCTTAGAAGCTCTCCACCCACCAACCATGCCAGGTCCCAGCAGCCGCCACGTCTCTTGGAACCTATGAATGTGACAATCTTTAGATAGCTCATATTTATTATAAATGGTATCTGGGACCTTCTTTCCATCTCACAGGAACTTGGACCCTCTTCAGCTTTTCTATACTTTGAGATGGCATCGTATGTCAACTTGATGCTAAAGACATGGGCCATACCACCTACGTTTTCAATTGAATTCTCACAACAGAAAAACAAGAAAGTTAAGAGCTTCAACAGTGACCAGGAAATGAATAAGAGAAGGGCAAGTTCTTCAGCCCTCACGAGGCATGAACCATTTTTGCCTGTTAGATCATTTTCTTCTTTAAAAGTCATTGAAGAGTGAGGTTTTAAAAAACAATAAACAAACCAAATGCTCATCTTAGCGAAACACAAAGTGGGGTTCTGAGAGCACAGTAGGCCTGCTGGGTTGTAGCCTGGTCTCCTCTATGCAAAACCTGTATTTCTTGCTACTGGTTCCTAACTTGATTGTCACATGTGAGATCAGAGTTGGTCCATGGGTGGGTGAATCCCTTTCTTGGCTCATTGACAGGTTGGGGGTCAACAAACAAAACGTCAGCATCCTCAAAGTTGAAAGGGAAGGTCCACCTTCTGTTCCACAAAAAAAAAAAAAAAAAAAAAAAAAAAAGAATCAGACTCCCATTACAGACACTCATCTGTCTAGACAGAAGGCTAAACAGGGTCCCTCCAGGGTTAGACTTCAGTTCCCTCTGTTCAGCCTGTTGGCTATTTAGCAATTAAAAAAAAAAAATCAGAAAGAAAGAGGGGGAAAAAATCGTTTAAAGACTGCAGTTCTGAGCCAACCCCTCCCCCACTACCCAGAGAGTAGTTTAAGTCATTTCAATACAGGCTACATGTGGTAAAAGTCTCAAGCAGAAATCAGATTGAGACAAAGGGGCCCTAAAAATACTCGTGAAGTCTGGCTACAGATACAAGAACACAGGCCCAAGTGTCCCTTTATAGCCCTTGTGACAGCAACTTGAACTCACTGAGGGAGCAGGGTCTCACCCAGGTATTCCTGCAGCTGGGGATGAGAAGCCACCAAAGTCCAGCTTCCCACTTTTCATGTGGGCTGCAAAGATGCTTCTCTCTGCTCCTTCCATGCCCTGGGGATGCTGAACTTTCTCTAACGTACTGAAGAGTGGCATGGGGGTTTTGATTGAGATTGCACTCAATCCATGAGGCACGTTTGGTGGGAGGGACATTTGACAATATTAACCAGTTCATGAGCAGGGAGGAAGCCTTCCCATCTTCAACTATCTTCCTTAAGTTCTTTCCTGGGAGGTTTAACGTTTGCATTGTAGAGATCCTTTACTTCCTTAGTTAGGTTCCCTCAAGGGTAATTTTTTAAAGCTATTACGTACAGGAGTGCCCCCCAGTTTCTTCTCAGTGTGTTTATCATCGGTATATAGAAAGTCTACTGATTTCTTACATGATAAGCATGTATCCTGCCTTTCTTCTGAAATTATTACTCTTAGGCAATGTCAAACTGCATTTATGTTTATACCTATAGACAATTTTACTCTCAGCCTTAAACAGAATCATTTCTGTCCACTGGGCAGGATGCATACAGAGACTGGGGTGATACGAGCTGCTAAGAATAAATGATCAAGTGATGGCTGAGAAGTCAGCCCTAAACGAGATATTTTTACCATCCCCTCTTAGGTTCAGAGATGTGTTGGGGGGTGGGGTGGGTGGTGGAATGAATGTAAGACCCTAAAGATAGGGAGAAGCTAAGAAATGTCTCCTGGGCAAGACACTGCCATTATAGCCATGCACTGGCCGGGTGGGTGGATCTACTTTAAAAAAGGTTCACCATCAAGAATCAGGCATAGAGGGGGGAAAGGGGAAGAAGAGGGAGCATAGTTCCCAGGGCTGAGCTATCTGCTGCAGATGAACTCAGAATGGGGAAGTCATGGCCTTCAGTTGTGTACCCACTGCCAACTCCACTGGGCTCTCTCGGATTGTTCCTAGTCAATGGTCACAAGGATGATGGCCTTGGGTACACTAACTGATTACACACCACACACATCAATAAAACACAATCAAAAGCATGGATGTGGGAGAGGGACTGGTAGGGATGAGGGAGGAGCCTTGAGAGGGATGGGAGGGAGGTTCTGGGGCAGAGAATTAGAATGCATTCTATTCATGTATAAAACTGCAAATATCAAAACTAATAATAGAAGGAAAAATACTACAGGGAGCAGAAAGGAAGTCAGTATTCCTTTATCAAGGTGGAGAGAGAGAGACACAGGCTTGTGGTGATGAGATTTCTTTAAGCCTATTAATACTGCTACACTTGGTGGACACAGCATTCTTCCAGGTAGGCAACTGGAAGCTGGCCAGCCTGCCATGTGTGGAGAGATGAAAGCATCATGTGACTAAAACCAGACCTCACTTTTCTATTACGGTACAGATTTACAAAATCCAGTCCCTGTCTCATTTCACAGACATTCATTGGATGCCCGAATCTGCCCCATTCTTCCCTGTGTGTGTGGGGATTGACAGGCGGGGCAGGGGCTACTATGGAAATTTTTGAGTCCTGCTGGCTGATGGGTACTGGTAGGACCCCAATCTTTTAGCAGGCATTAGAAAATCAGTGCACTTTAAGCAAATAAATGGTGATCGTTGAAATTCACCAGGTTGAAAACAAAATGAGCAGAAAAAAAAAACCAAACAACTGCCAAGACAAATGGAAGGATTTTATATTGTATGCCATAATTATTAACCAGAGCAGGCAGGAAAATAACAAGAGCACACTCAGCCTGCATCTAATGTGTAGAAAAAAATAGTTTTGCTCTTCAAAGACCACATATGAACCCCCGCTTCACTCTGATGACAATGTTTGAACCAGAATGAGAGAGAGAATGAAAGAGAGAGAGAGAGAGAGAGAGGAAAAGAAAGAAAAGAAAAAAAACCCACATCTTTCTCTTTGTTGGAAAAGAATGATTTCCTTGTACACGAGGCACAGATGGCCCCTGGCCCCTGGGGTCCCTTTCTGTCATCTCTCTCCTACAGATAAATTCCCACTTAAATTTGAACTTTATCCCTTCAGGGAGCAGCTAATAGGATGACTCTGGAGTCAGGGAGCCCACGTTCATGCTCTGGCTCTGCTGTCTCTCATCTGTGTGACAGTGGGGTAACAACACATGATGTCTGTAAGCCTCTCCTTCCTGTCTATAAGACAGAATAATGATCCTCTAAGGGGCCAATACAGATATTAGCCCAGAGTTCAACTATTCAGCCACTAACTGTTGACTGTATTGTACATATTTTTGTTTGTTTTGTGTATTGGTGTGTGCATGGGTGTTGATGTTCATGTATCTATGGTGCACATGTATGTGCATGCATGCAGAGACCAGAGGAAATCCATTCCGCATATGCTGTCCACGCTTTTCATCTGACACAAACAATCTCTCATTGGCCTGGAACTTGCCTAGTAGGCTACGTTGGTTACAGTGAGTCTAGGGGTCTGCTTCCCTCCTACCCCTGTCTCCAGAGCTAGGATTCCAAGCACATACCACAGGCCTGGCTTTTTTATGTAGGTTCTGGAGATCAAACTCAAGTCCTCTTGCAAGCCCCCTGCAGCCAGGGCTCTCTCTCCTGCCCTTACATCATTAGTAAAGACAGAGTCCATTCGTCCCGTCCATCAACACTCCCACCCTATGATGCCGATATAACATGGACAGTCAGGCAGAACCGCGTAGTTTTATCAGAAG